TTTCACCTAATGATGGAATACTTTTGTTTCCTAAAAGAATCCTTAATCCCTTTCTCATCTATGTGAGCTAAGGTGCCTGCACACAATCTACTCTACGGTGCACCAATCAGGGAAATAATTGCATTCAACCGCCACTGATGGATGCGCGATGCATTAGGTTACCGGTTGACGTCTGCTCCGAATCCTTCCTCCGCTCCCATTCAGGATTGCTTTGTGCATTATGATCCTCCTGGTGAGTTCAAGGTGCTTTACTTTCTTCACTTCACATTGGTTAATTGTGTTGGTGATCATCAATTTAGATTGAATTTCTGGTTTTTAGGAGTAAATAAATAGGATTGGGCGAACAACACATGGAGAAGGTGCGGAAGGAAATGCCTTATTGTTCATGATTCCAGAAGAGCTTCAGTTTCTTCAATATTTGAAGGTATGGCAGATTTGCCATCTACTTTTCAGCATGTACTTCGCTCTTGCTGTAAGCTTTAATGACTGTTTCCTTTCAGGCTGAAAAAGTCCCGGAGAATGAGTATAATAAGATGAAAATAAGGTAGCAAATGTTCAGACTTGCTTGGTAAGTGACTTTCTTCATTCTTTCTACTAATCCTCAACTTCTGAAAAGAAGCACACTTCGGTAAAGAATTCTGGCAGACTCTGCTTGTGGGTTGTTGTAGGAGAAATTGGTGGATGGGAGTTTCTGGAACAAGGCGGTGAAAGGAGATTACCGGTCTTGCATATTTGTGGTTGAGGTGGGATTAGCATGCTATTGGGTTTACCTTCTCCCATTCTTAATAATTTTTATGTCTCAATAGCCCTTTCTATTCCATGCATTGGTGTTCACGTGCCTCCCATGCAGTAGGGTTGATTTAGTACTTTCTGGCTTGCCGGATGGTTGGTTTCATGGGGAAGCTCAGTCTGTGCGGTAACTCACCTTCTGAATTCTCATATCACAATTTCACAAGTTTTGAATTGGTAGGACACAGTGAGGGTTCCTTATTTATGGAAATTCAGCTTTATATCTCTATGTCTTGATTTCCAGTTCCAATTGTACTGTCATTTTGAACCCCTGATTTCCGAACTATGTACGCAATGAAGTGTAGGTTACCCTTTGTTCTTGAGTTGTCATGGTGGCGTGCTTTTGATTTGGTAATTTAACGCTTTTCACTAGGTCCACATTCTCATCGACTTTGATCCGGAGTTCTCCAGCTTATAACTTAATAGCTGCAAGATTTTTTGGACTCCGATATACGCATTGGTAGGTTATCCGTTCTATGTCCCCTTGACCTCTTACACAAAATCCTTATATAGCTTACTGAATCTAAATTCTAATTTTTGTGCTTTAATGTGTCCAATTTACAGTATATTTGGTCAAAATTTAATGGTGCACTGATCTCCTATATAAGGTCTATTCACGGGATGAAGTGACGACCCTAATGCCCCAATTACACATGTGGCCATTGATGTAGCATAAGGAATAGTAAGAGACTCTGTTCATTTGCATTCCAGCTTATGACATTATGTTTTTGTGCATGATAAAGAGATGTGTTCTTCAACAAACTGAAATTCAAAGCAAAAGAAAATTAAGTCCTGCTCCTTGAGTATTATTCCTATGAGATACTCCATTTATTGAGCTTTTATTCGAAGTTATGTTTTAGTGGTCCCTATTTTCATTTGGAAGTGCTTTTCCTGTGAAAGTTGTGTTGCATGGAAGACTACCTAATCAACTTGACAAAATAATAGCGGCTTCTGGGAATAAAAAAATAATTCTTATAGGTTCTGGGCACAATTGCTCAACAAGGTTGCCTGAGTTCTCAAAGGAATCGTAATATATGTCTTGGAATTCATCTTAAGCCAAAGGGGATTTTCTGATTGCAAGAACTGATCAGGTGGGATGGAAGCAGAAACCGCGGTGGAGTGTCATTTATGTTCGTCGTGCTAGTGGGATTATTGGGGATATCATAAAATCATGTTTTGAACATCATCATCCTCCTTATATCGCATTCAAAAAATTATGAATGGATAACCGAAATAAGGGAAATGCTCCGATGAACAGGGTTCATTTGTTAACTGGATCTGTTATTAGCCAAAACAATCTTGTGTTTTTAAATCAGGCTATTTGGTGGTTGCCTTTTTCCATATTAACATGAATTTGTAATGTAAAAAGTCTTCTTTTCCTTTTTTTTTTTATCTTTTTTGTTCTTCCCTTCTTGGAGATTCTATATTAGACACTCGCTATTATAGTATTGTTAATACATTTTTCTTCTTTTTATAACTAATTTTTATACAGAAACCAAATATCTTTACCTTGAGGAATGGTGACCACCTGTTCCTACCGAATTCAGTGCACGTTACCGTATGAGCAAGGACAGTTCAGTAGGGGTCGAAATTAGGGTGGGTGTGGTTACTCGCTCTACATTTGTGGTTAACCACATCCATAAGTATAGAATTATGCTACCCACAACCTGTATAGTAGTGGATAGTGGTTAATCAATATCCATTGCGGGTTGGTGCAGGTTCGATGTGGACACCCACAAAAGTTTCATTATTGAATATAGTTTATGGTAATTAAATATTAATGTTGTGTTTCTTCTTACGCAAAAATAAAAATCTACATAAGCTGATAAAATAAAGTTAATAAAGTGTTAAATTAACTATAAACTATATTTATTGACTTGGTTTTGTTATAAAATAAACATATACCATGCGGACAAAAATACAAATTGTCATCGGATAAAAAAGTGAGAATGGGAAGAAAGAGAAAAGTTGAATATGCAAAATTTTGTAATGAAAGTAGAAATGGAAATACAATGGGATATTGTCTTCCAACTAAGACGAATTGATCAATTAAAAACATATGAACTAACTATTCGTAATCACGAATAATGAATACCACAAATAATACTTACAAATCATGTAAAGACTATATAAATATTTCAAATAATTTAACATATAAATATTAATCAACATAATTAATAAAAAATAAAACAAAATTCATCCGACCAACGGGTCGGGTAAAAGCTAGTCTCAACCTAGAGTTGGAAAGTCTGCGTTTAGCGGCAGACCTAGAGAAAGATTAGGTAACCTAAGTTGAGTGCCTGGGATGCATCTTCCACATATCAGTGCATTCTTTATAAAATAAATTAAGGCTCGTTATGGGTATGACTAATGAGGCGGCAAACTTAGATTACCGAAACTTGGACATATACTGGCCTTTTTTCATGGCAGCAGATAGGGTCAGTAACCATTGGTTACTGACCTATCAGTATTAAATCCGGACCGTAGATCTAGGGATGACATTATTATATTGTTGGGCTGCACGTGGAGTGAGGAGGGGCATTTTTGTCCGATTTTTGAAATTTGATTTCTTTCCTTTTTTTTATTTTTTCCAGCATTTATATGTGTTGTATTTTAATGGAGGAAAGAGAAAAAGCAGACTTTTCTCTTCCTCTCTCTTTTCTCTTTCTTCCTTTCTCTCTTCCAAAATTCCTTTTCCAGATCTAAATCTCATTTGTTCTCTTGTTCTTCATTTTTTTCTCCAACAATCGATGAATAAATTGTATCCTCCCACTTCAAATTCGGTGAGGCTCCAAATCCTTCTACTCTCAAGCTGCTCCTTCCTTCTGTTTTTTTCTTTTATCGGCCTCAAAATCGATGATGCTCCATATTGTCAAAGAGGGGACAGATCTAGGTGAGTTGAGTTTGCATCTTTTGTGTTTTAGTATTTGTTTGTGAATTAATTCCGATCTTCTTCCTCTTTTTCTTTCTTTTTGCATTCGGTGTTCTTCATTGCGGAGGAGTAAATGACAGGAGACAGAAGACAAGTTTTTTTTCCTCTTCCTCCTTCTGTTTCCCCTTCTTTGAGAATATATATTGAGATTACCACACTATACCATATGGTAATGTGTATATACCACACTATACCATATGGTAATTTGTATATACCATATGGTAATGTGTCTATACCATATGGTAATGTGTATATACCATATGGTAAAGTGTATATACCATATGGTAATGTGTCTATACCATATGGTAAAGTGTATACCATATGGTAAAGTGTGGTAACGAAATGTATTTTTATGAATATCGTGTTTTACTATGGTCGTAAAAGGGTTGTAATTAGATTTATATAATTTTTGTATGGTTTTAACTTCTCATACCATGTGGTATTGTATGGTAATTACAATTAATTTGTGTTCATTTGATTAACCATGTTCTACTATGTTGGCATTGTATGGTAGTTAGATTTACCATATGTTGATATTACCACACTATACCATATGGTATTGGGTGGTAACGAAATATATATTGATATTACCACACTATACCATATGGTATTGGGTGGTAACGTAATATATATTGATGTGACAAATTTTTTCATACCATATGGTATGGTCAATACCAGTCATTACCATATGGTATAGACTGGTAATAACTGACAAATTTTTTTATGTCTGAAAAATATCAAAGTGGATATCATTTTGAAGAGCACAATTAATCTGATCTAACTGTGCAAAAAAAATTAAATTCCGACTTAAAACGAGTAAGAAATCGTCCGTTAAAGATTAAGAGAAGGAAATTTAAAGGTTGTTTGAGGAGAGAGAAGGCGCTGAAGTGATCTGGTCAGCGCGTCAGCGCGTCAGAGACATCATTAAATAGGGGGTGCAATTTTACCTTAGTGCCCCTCCGTATTTTTTTTAAATAAAAAGAAAAAGCTGACACGTGGGGGCCAGAGGAAGGGGTTACTGATGGTTACTGAGGTATTGTTTACTGAGGGGATCCGCTCCCTTTTTTTTTCATAACCAACTGCGGTACCAGTTTTATGGGTAAGGAGGTGCACTACTAATCGAACACGGCCCAACTTTTTCTTGGACCATACTAATATTTTCACTGCCTATATATTAACCCTCCGCCTCTGGTACCCTTTTCATCCATCACTTGAACCAACAGATCCCAAACAAAAGAACCCTCCCAAATCTCTTCCGACAAGTTAGTTAAATCAAGACATGGCTTCTTCTTCCAAGTTCTTCGTCGTTGCTCTATTGCTCACAGTCACATTGTGCAGCATGGAAAATGGAATGGCGGCTCGACAGCTCCTCCAACTGCCGAAACCCACCGCACTGCCTCCGATGCCCACCATCCCATCTCTGCCGCTACCAACTCTGCCGTCCGGAGGAGGATTGCCACCACTTCCCAGCGCCGGCGCCGGAGCCATGCCCACCCTGCCGGTACCAACTCTGCCGTCCGGAGGAGGATTGCCGCCACTCCCCAGCGCCGGCGCCATTCCAACCATGCCCACTATTCCTTCCATGCCAAAGGTTTCTCTGCCGCCACTGCCTAGCGGTTTTCCAACCATTCCTTCCATCCCTGGCCTTACCCCGTCGGGCCCTGGAAACTGATCACTTGACGATATGTTGTTATGTCTTGGGATTGCTTGTCTAGAGGGGCTCATTGCTTGTTTGTTTTTACTCTGATTGTTATTTGAATTTCTTCAGTTGTGTGTTTGTTTCTACTATTGTATGCATCACTCTTTTCATTTGTCCGATTCTCAGTTGCTTTTGAGTTAACCGCGCGCACATGATTCTATTGGATTTCTAATCATTTTTTGGTAAAGCGACAAGATCGAGTTGCAACTCACTTAAAGCGTTGAAACTTATAGGTGCATGAGCTCAACCTAAACGATCAAAATATATGAAATGACTACTTATCATTATACTTCACTAATAGCGGTCCGACTTATAATAATTTACTAGATAATTAGCCCGCACTCTGTAGCGAATTATCAAAACACTTGTCTACTTGTATTTTTAGGAACCTCAGGATAATTCTTTTTTCGTTGAATATATACCTCAGGATAAAGCAAGGTGTGCCCAAAAACGGGTAATTGTGGAACACCACACATAAGTAGAGTCTCGCGAGCAACCACGTCACACCGAAGGCAAGGTGAGAACCGCGCAAAAACAGGTACTCGCGAAATAAGAAGCTCAAGAAGACGTCGTTTTAGTGACAAGCAGTCATGTCTCATTCATAGACCTCGTCATATCCTAGTTTTCTGTCTTTTCCAAGCATCGTGTCACATTTAAAACCCACCCACCGGAATGTTGCCTACAAATAGACTATTTACTCCCGTGGGTAAGGGGATCGATCTCTAGTCTCTCTCTCTAAAAACTTGAAAACATATCTAGAATCTCTTTCTCTCCCTCTCAGCTCCTTTAAATCCTTTGAATCAACAAAGTATAAAGGCGGATCATTCTCTCTTTCCATTCGCATCCATATAAACCCCGGGTCTCACAAGCTCCTACACACAGTTAGACATAGACAATTGGCGCCCACCGTGGGACCGCTAGTGAAAAGTAAGAATAACCAAACTACAATGTCAGGACAAGCTTCAATCAAACCGGATGAGGCAACGCCACTCAAAGAGATGACAAATCCGAGACTATTCGCAAAAACCAGCAATATGAACGCGGTATGAATAGAGGAAGAGGAGTCGCAACTAACCGCCAAGCAGCCAGCAAATGGCCAAGCAAAATGAAGTAATCGCGGACAGGTAAAACAAGATGAACCAAGTCATCGCACTTATGATGAACAAAGAAGCCACCGTGGCAACACAACAGACCTATGTCGAGAGGCAAGATCGAGCTGCTTTTGAGTTAACCGCGCGCACATGATTCTATTGGATTTCTAATCATTTTTTGGTAAAGCGACAAGATCGAGTTGCAACTCACTTACAGCGTTGAAACTTATAGGTGTAACACATGACCTCAACCTAAACGATCAAAATATATGAAATGAGTACTTATCATTATACTTCACTAATAACTGTCCGACTTATAATAATTTACTAGATAATTAGTCCGCATTCTGTTGCGAATTATCAAAACACTTGTCTACTTGTATTTTTAGGAACCTCAGGATAATTCTTTTTTCGTTGAATATATACCTCAGGATAAAGCAAGGCGTGCCAAAAACGGGTAATTGAGGAACACCACTCGCAAGTAGAGTCTCGCGAGCAGCAACGTCACACCTAAGGCAAGGTGAGAACCGCGCAAAAACAGGTACTCGCGGAATAAGAAGCTCAAGAAGATGTCGTTTCAGCGACAAGCAGTCACGTCTCATTCATAGACCTCGTCATATCCTAGTTTTCTGTCTTTTCCAAGCATCGTGTCACGTTTAAAACCCACCCACCGAAATGTTGCCTACAAATATACTATTTACTCCCGTGGGTAAGGGGATCAATTTCTAGTCTCTCTCTCTAAAAACATGAAAACATCTCTAGAATCCCTTTCTCTCCCTCTCCGCTCCTTTGTAATCCTCTGAATAAAACAAAGTATAAAGACGGATCCTTCTCTCTTTCCATTCGCACCCAAACAAACCGCGTGTCTCACTAGCTCCTACACTCAGTTAGACATAAACAATTGGCACCCACCGTGGGGTCGCGAGTGAAAAGAAAGAATAACCAAACTATATTGTCAGGACAAGCTTCAAGCAAACCGGATGAGGCAACGCCAGTCAAAGAGATGACAAATCCGAGACTATTCGCGGAAACCAGCAATCTAAATGCAGTATTAATAGATGAAGAGGAGTAGCAACTAACCGACAAGGAAGTACGCCAAAAAATGGCCAAGCAAAATGAAGTAATCGCGGGCATGTAAAACAAGATGACCCAGGTCATCGCACTTATTATGAACAAAGAAGCCCCCGCGACAACACAACAGACCCATGTCGAGTGGCAAGCGCCCGTCGAGAGGCAAGTCGCCCCTAAACCTCATGAGCAACGAGCAACCCCATGTCGAGTGGCCTGACTTTTAGAAGTGCTTTTCGGCTTCAAAAGTTGAAGCAGGGCCAAAAACCTCTAGAAGCTCGACTTTGAAAAGTCGAAAAGCGCTTTTGTATAACATAACAACATTTGGAGCTTCTGCGAAAAGCTATTTTGAAAATACAAAATTATCCTTATCATATTTTAATTTTATTTCAGAAAATATGATTTTTATTTATTTATATCATTTTCAAAATAAAATAAATTATAAAATCACACTATTTAATATAAAAGAAATCTAACATGAAACAATTTGACTACTTTTTATTGTTTAGAATTTTTATTCATATGTTATTTACAAGTCTTTTATAGTCATTTTACACAACCTTTCATATTAAAAAGCACTTCTAATAGTTTTTCAATCAAACACTCAACTACTTTTTTTGAAAAGTACTTCTCTAAAAGCTCCAGCCAAAAACTGATTTTGCAAAAGCTACAATAGGGCCAAACTAGCACAATCTCAATTAAATGTTGAAATATAACAATCACTCATTTTGAGTGATAATTTATGTCACATAACAAAACAATTCATATATCGTATATGAAGAGGGGAAAAAACATTCTAAACAGTACAAATAAAGTAACAATCTCACGAAAACCATTGCAACTTTCAAATGACTGCTTCGTTATAACTTTCAAATGACTGCTTCGTTATAATTTAATCTAAATGGAAGAATTCCCCCACGCCACTAACATGTTAATTAGCTAGATTACCTAAACTGGGACATTTGCTGGCCTTTACCCTGACCAACCCAACAAAAAGTCAAAGCAGCGAGCGAAATATACCCTGCTGAACTTGAACTCCACAGTCAACAAAGCTCATTATCAAATATTTTTTTGGAGCAGACGTATGTACGTGAGAAACCTTGTTAGTTGCAAATATTTTTTTGGAGCAGACGTATGTACGTGAGAAACCTTGTTAGTTGAACTAGCTGAGACCCATGTCATTGTTAGCTTACTGGTAATGGAACCTACCAGCCACATAATTCCAGCATTCCAGAAAACTTGGACATGTAGCTAGCCTTTCTTTTCCATAACCAACACCACCAATGTTTTTTTCTTTTTTTATTTCTTTTATGGGCAGAGCAGGTAAACTAATCATCACACACAATCTCACAACTTCTCATCTCAACCATACAAATTTCAGTGGCTATATATAAAACCCTCGCTCCTCTGAAACCTTTTTCCTCCATCACCAACAAAACAACCCTTTCAAACCTTCCTCCACAAACATGGCTTCTTCTTCGAACTTCTTCCTCGTTGCTCTCGTTCTGGCGGCCGTCGCATTCTGCAGCATGGAAAACGGAATGGCGGCTCGACAGCTCCTCCAACTGCCGAAACCCGCAGCCCTGCCTCCTATGCCCACCATCCCATCTCTGCCGCTACCAAACGGAGGAGGATTGCCGCCACTTCCCAGCGCCGGCGCCTTGCCCACCCTGCCGTCCGGAGGAGGACTGCCGCCGCTCCCCAGCGCCGGTGCCATTCCGACCATGCCCACTATTCCTTCCATCCCAATCCCAAAGGTTTCTCTGCCGCCGATGCCTAGTGGCTTGCCAACCATGCCTTCCATCCCCGGTCTTACCCCGGCGGGCCCCGGCAACTGAATGAACTAGAGTACTATATCTAAGTAGTGGATATCATCGTATTGTCTTTCAGTGTTTCAGTTATAGTTATGTCTTGGGAATTGGGATTGCTTGTCTACAGGGCTCATTGTTTGTTTCTTTTTGTTCTGATTGTTATTTGAGTTTTCTTGGATTATTGGATTATTGTATGTTTGTTTCTACTATTGTATGCAGTATGAGTGATGCCATTTTCAGTTACTTTTGAGTTTGTATCACTTCCTTTATGTTTCGTGTACATGTGATTTCTATTGACCCAGCCAACACAAAATATAGGGAGCAGTAGCACGACATGATCTGATTCTGACCCAAAATGCTGAACTACGATCTTGATGATCCTATAGATTCATAATAATCCGACCTATAATATATAATTCGACATTCTTACTGTGCCATGACAGTAATTATTGATTTATGTAACTTGTAAATAAATATTTTTAAGGTGTGTTTGGATCGGTCTATATGTATATGAATATGATAAGAAATATGAGTTTATCCTCGATTACATCGGTAAATAGTAATTTAATCCAAACCCATCTACATAGATAACTATTAGTAAAATTAATTTGATTTGTCCACACATTTAAATGATAATCGATGTCAGCGAATTCGTTACGAATGAACACTCCTAGTACTTACATAGGCCACACGACGAGAAGTCGTATCAATGGAGCTCAGTGTGATCCAGGGGGTGGCCATCCCGGGTCACGGCCTAGCCCTCCTCTGAATTCGGAGCTAGTATAGCCTTTATGAATTTTTTCGATTTTAGCCATTCGGTCCAGCATTATTTTATAATAAGATTGTGTATAACTAGAGAAATAGTACATATGAATATATTCAAATCACTAATCTAAATTTAGCCTAAAAATTCTAGCTCAAAAGATTTTCTTCTAAAAAAACAATGAAACCTCAAGTTCTAAAAGTCTAAGTGTACAAGACTAAGAGAAATATGGGGTTTGTTCCCTTGAAAAATCACTTGAGTAGTTGGTGGATGTGGGGATGGACACACAATGCAAATTGATTTGTCTAGTGTTGACGCTGTCCGTTTTAACGACTACTACGGAGAAAACCTTTTCAACAATAACACATGTGAAAACTGATTTGCGCAACAAAATGAGCGATGAATTTCTTACCGATTGCGTAACTATTTTATTTGAAACAAAGTATGATATTGGTGTGGATGTAGACTCCATTATTGATGCATTTGCTACATCAAAAGAGCGCCGTGTACAATTGACATTATAAAAAAAAATTATGCATTATTTTTGTATGGTATTTAATTTTCTAACTAAATGTTGTCCAGTATTCTACGGTGTTCTGGATTCGCCACTGATGAAGCTAATTTCATCGTCGTTGATATGACTGGTCTTTCCAACGACACATTGAGTAAGCATTGGAACATCTTGCTGTCATTTGTTAATGCTACCCTCGACATTCAGCTTCAATGTTTTCGTAGCTACTTATTGCAAACTCGCCCTGAAAAGTGAAAAGGGTGATTAACCAAAAAAAAAAACTCTCAAGTCACTCCTTCCTTGGTTCGCAATCGTGTCAAGTTTTCCATCCATTATCTACAAATCATCCAGTAGAGATGCGAAATTCATTGATAATGTCAATCGAGATCGAATGGTATGACTAACAAATTTTTTGTTGGCTTGGGGTCTTTCTCATTCATCTCTTGCTTTTTTATGCAGATCAAGCTAAATGTCTTTAATTAACTAATTGGAAAGGAGAAAAAAAATGAAAAGCTTGGTTGTAAAGCAACCGTAAAGGACATAATGCAACACGATAGCAATTCGATAAGCCTATTCTTCTTCATCTCTGTTATCGACTTCGTGTTTAATGGTTGTAAATGACGATGAAGAATTGATTAATTCTCATCCCTTCTCTTCTTGTTACAACATGCAAGCTGGTGGGAACAAATTGTGCACACTAATCTTGAAGAACATATAACATAAAGGTGTTGGGGATAGTGATTTTGTCAAGAGGTTAGCGAGTTGATAGTTGGAGGATGCATCTTGTCATTCAACTTTTCCCAAACCACATGGAATTCGAGCTCAATGTGTTTACTTCGCTCAAGGAAAGTGAGATTTCATCCAATATATATGATGCTTTGGTTATCATAATTTAGCGTAGCAACTTGGAAATGTTGTACTTGGAAGTTGCAAAGTAGGTAAAGTAGACATTGGATTTCACATGTGGTGAATGCAAGGCACTCTGCTTCACAAGATGATCTTGAGACGGTCTTCTGCTTCTTTATTTTCCACGAGATCAGTGAATCCTGTCACGTCCATTAGAGAACTAAGCAGTCTTCTCTCAAACTCACAAGCAAGCAAAGAAAGCAAGAACAAGACAAAGAAGATGGGAGAACTCTCTAGTGTGTATTACTCTCAAATATGATGGAATGAGTTACAAGTAACGGAGATGACTCCTTATATAGGTCTCTCCTCATACAAGGCATCAATTTCCCTCATAATGTCCCTCTACATCAATACACTCATTAAGTCCCCCCATTCTGCACTCTATAAATGTCACTCATTATGTGACTCATAAGTGCACCATTAAGCTCTCATTTAGGTGGAGAATCTTAGGAGCATCTCTATGCTACTAGTCTTCCATACACGCCACATGTGTAGCCGCCATGCTGTCACCTTGTTGGCGCCATGTCATCTGTCGAACGTGACAATCCCCAAGGGAAACACAGTAGCCAGTGACAGAGCTCCCGGTATCAACACATACAGTCCAATCCAAGTATGTAAATGATTTAAGTTGTACGAATAAGTATTGGGAAAGAAGAGGCCCATGGTTCAAACTGACTACCAGGTGGGTTCTATGTATGAAAGGTGCTACACTTGAGAGCCATGCTTGGAGTTGGCCTTAGGTGTGCCCAGTGGCGAAGCAAGAAGTTGAAACTAGGTGTGTTCTTTTTTCATAACATAAATTATTGTGATTGTGAGTTTAGTTTATAGTATAATAAATAAATCAAATGGTATTCCAATAACATGAAGTGAATTTGAGTGTAGTGGAAAAATATCCTTGTGTCAAGATAGCAAGTTTGATCCCTTGCATTAGCATATTTGAGGATTTATAGTTTTTTTTTTTTAACAAAACTTACATGTGTCATTTGACAAAGGCAACCCCCTTGGGCTCCGCCTATGGGTGCGCCATAAGCTTGCTTGCTATCAAGTGGTCATCATTAAACTCCTAACATTAAGGCACTAGGGCTTCAAGTATGGTAGGCGTTTTAGATCTCAAGACTGACACCTGATCAACCAGGGCATCAAAGGCATTAAGGGTGCCAAGCATATCACTTTGCCATAGAAACCATCAAGTGGTCCATCAAGGAGATGACAATGGATGATCTGGAAGGAAAAGGAAAGGCAAGGTGCCACTCCATGAGTTAGCGCTCGAAAAGGAAAGGAAAAATCTCAACGTCAAAGGAATGGGGAAGGCCACATTGTTTGGCTAGGCCATAGTGGGTTCACGTGGAAACACAAATCTCAAAGTGGAGTTGCTTGTAGCAGAACTCAATTCACGAAATCCCACAAAAATATCATAATGAACAGTAACCCTAATTTTCCGTTAGTTTTCTCTTTAATAATATAATAATAATTACAATCAAAAGAAGTACACATATCGTCATCCATAGTATTCTTCAAACTCATGGCGGATTATCTAATTCGTACATACTCTAAGAATAAATGAAATTGTACTTAAAGAGTCACTCCATAACTTTTTTTTTTTACTAAAAACCCTGAATAAAAGAATAGAAAAATAGGTGGCATTGTAAGCCAAAGCTCGGACTCTTCCCATCTACCATTCATCCTAGCCGTCATATGTGTCTATTCATTTCCCTCCCTTCTCCAAAATCTTCACTTTATGTCACTGATCTCACCATTATATCAGCCTCCATCTGCGTTTCTTCCACTCAATCGAGTTTTTGTATGAATGTTTTCAGTCAGACTCTAGAAGCAGCAGATTGAATGTGATAGGTGGAAGGAACTATATTAAAGGGTCATTTGGATGAGGATCCAGAAACCTGAGATTTTTTTCACAATCCAACAATTTAAAAACCTAGGTTTTTTATGAGAAATTTAATAAATCACTTGTTTGGATGTGAACATAGAATTTTAATAAGAAACATCAAGTTACAATCTTACCCTCATCTTCTACCTATTTTCTTCCTCCTCTCCTCCCATCTATTAACCCATAATCTATCTTCTACTTCTTCCTCCTTGAATCGTAGAACCCAAAACCTAGCAAAACCAAAGAGCAGAGGATGACAAAGACCACAAGCAAGGAGCAGGAGATATCAACTAGAAGCAAGGTCGGTCGCCATACTCATCGCCTTTTTTCTTCCTCCTTTTTCTTCATCTCCAGAACCCAAAATAACCCTTCGTCTTTTTGTTCATCACTGGCTTTTATGGTGACGATGATTTTTGGGGAGAAGCCATCATCAAACCTGCCACCATGAAATCCAGAAGCAGAGAGTTCCCCAATGGCGTTCGATTTGGGGGTTTTCAAACCTAGAATCGACATTGGCTCCACATCATGACCCAGAACCCCGACGACGCAGCGGAGCCGGATAGGAGGGTGATGCGAGTCATGCGACCAAGGGAGAGATGTATGCACTTATGGTGAAGGAAGGGAGAAGTCAAAGGCGAGATGATAGGGGATGGAGGTGAGGAAGAAAAAAGGAGGAAGGAAGAAGCATGAAGGAGATAGTTGAGGGACAAGGTTTGGAAATAATGAAATAACAACAAGCGATTGTGAAATAGCTTATTACCATCAGTTATTTCAAAAATTCATAGAGGTTTTTAAAATTGTACGGCTAAATGTCGGCCTAGTTTTTTTGAATCGCCCTAATTTAAAGTAAAAAATTACTTAACTATCCTTGTTAAAAAAAATCTATAGAGACCAATAAATTCACGGGATGATTCCGGGCCGCGTGTAGGGTTAAGGGCTTAAGGCAACGATCGCAGGGACGG